CTGAAGACCTATTGGAACCAGGATGGACTCAAGATTCTTAAAGAAATCAGTCAAGTTTGGTGAAGGAAAAATCAGGGTTGGGGTTTGTATTCAGTATGGGGGCGTGCAAGAGATCTGCTGAGTGGATGACGGTATCAAGACATTTGTGCTGCCCATTACATTACAAATGTTACGATAACCAGCGATCGTTCTTCGGAGATCCACTATAATCATGAACTTCACTTCCGCATTTCCCAGGACTACATATTCATACATGCACTTCCCCCAAACACGCACGCCTGCTCATTCATCTCGCTTGATTACACTCACCAGCTGTACCTTGTCAAAGACTGATAACACTCCATACTTAAGCCACTTGAACTCATCCAGTTTGCCGAGTCTTGTTTACTATTAAGTGACATTACAACGCGTTTCTCCCTGTCTTGTTTTTCCGTGTTTGAACCTAGCTTTGTATCCTTGTTATCCTGTTTAGCCGTCAGCCTTTCGACCTATTGCCTGTACAATGTTTACAACTCTGGATTTGCCCGCACATACCTGTTCATACCTGATTTTGAATAACCCTGCATTTGGATCCTACCTTCTGTTGCTGGTGTCATTCCCCGGTCGTTACGGAAGGTGAGTGTAATCAAGTGAGATGAATGAGCAGGCGTGCGTGTTTGGGGGAAGTGCATGTATGAATATGTAGTCCTGGGAAATGCGGAAGTGAAGTTCATGATTATAGTGGAAACCAGCGATCTCCGATGAACGATCGCTGGTTATCGTAACAACAAACCACAAGAGAGGGCAAATTCTTCAGCAGGATAGCGCTCCTTCTCATACCTCAGCCTCCACATTAAAGTTCCTGAAAGCAAAAAAGGTCAAGGTGCTCTAGGATTGGCCAGCCCAGTTACCAGCCATGAACATTATTGAGCATGTCTGGGGTAAGATGGAGAAGGCATTGAAGATGATTCCAACGAATCTTGATGAAATCTAAAAGGCTTTGCCTTTCATATAAACCACTTCTGACACCAAATGATCAACCAGAAGTCAGGTAATTATTTGTTCTTCCTAAAACTTAAATAGGCGACAAGACTTTTGTCAGGTGGTAGGAAGAGTATAACAGAAAATGTTAGCGGTTTTAAAAGCTTGATATTTACAAACTACTGTAAACCTAGAAACTGGTTATTGTCCCATATTGTGCGTGTGTGTATGAGAGAGAGAGATAGTGTTAGCTCAGGGCTCAGCACATCAAAGTGGTGTGTGTAGAGTTGCTTTACAGTGCTGGACACTGGCGACTTTGGTGTCAGGAGCGTTTTACTGTCACACACTGTCAGATGTTTCGCTTATTTGTGCTTTTTTTTGCTCTTTTCAGCTCTCCCCACTTCACCTTTTCCACTCATGTCACATCTGACTGCTCATATTGATTTTTTATTTTTGTTTCTGCAAACTACTTTCTATATGAAAATCCTATATGTGAACGGACTGCTGTGTTTATTTATGATGGATGTAAAGGTGCTGTTAAAACTGATGTGCTGAATTAAGTAAAAGTAAGCAGGTGCAGTATCATTGGTCTCATTGTATGATGTACATCTCTCATAAATTGTGCTGTTTTTACATAACTTTTTTTTTTGTTTTGATTGACACAGGAGTAATAATTATCTTATTGCCTGCTTATTATTAAGATATGAGTTGTTTATTAGTACTTATAAAACATATTCTGGATGATCATATTCTACATTTACAATCCTACCTAATACCTAAACCCTAATACTAAATGAATTACTATTAATAAGCAGCAGCAAATTAGACTTCTATACAGTGTAGATTAAAATTTGAGAACAACCTACAAATTCAACCCAGGCTAATTATTGATATTTACACCTATATACATTTCAGGAGATAGCAAAATGCATCCCAGGAGCTACGATTTTTGCAGTTGTTGTTTTCACAAATCCACCAGAGGGCGCTATGTAAACTGTTTCAGATCTCGAATTTCTTTTGCAAGTGCCATTTGTGCCTGCTGTTCTCACGTAAATTCACCAGAGGCCGCTGTTGACTGACCGAACATCTGACCGATTCCCTCCACCCACCCTCTTTCCTACATCCAACTGATAGTGTTTTCAAAGGCACTGATTAACCCGCCCACCACCTTCTCTAAACCCAACCAATAGTGTTTTCAAAAGCAATCCAGAAAAAGATTTTTACCACATTTTCAGATCTTACCATGTTCTCACCCTGTTATTTACATGTTTCTTTAATTTTTTGCCTTTTGTTTTTGTTTTACCTGCTTTCTGAAACCGTTCTCCACCAAAGTCGAATGCTGTTGCTGTGTTCAACTCCTCTCTGCTTCTAAAGTCCGCTGATGTACTCAGCGAGCACATGTTTTTACAATGAACCTGTGTTGTACAATTTCCTACATTTCAAGATCACCGCTTATTCCTATTTAACCCTGTCTGCCCCACTTTTTGAACAAAGATGTAAGAATGACACAATCAACTTAAATGAATCTTTTGATGCAGATATTTAAGCTTGGTCTCAACTTTAAAGAAGACACTTGTCAGATTGTAGCTGAAGTGAAAAGTTGTGCCTTTGCTTTCCTTTGAACATAAACTTATTTTTTTATATTACATAAAATAAGCATGTTGCAAAACATTTTATTGCCTAAAATGGACAGAAGTGAAATACCTGAACAAATGATATAGCTATTTTGAAGCTGATCTCTTAAAAATGAGCTTTTTGCCACAGTACCAAACATGACCACCAGTTGACATTCAGTTTGCATAGTTTCCATGTAGTAGACATTTTGGTGGTATTTGATTTGCTTTTAGCCTCCAAAACATTTTTGACATGTGAATTACAGTAGTAAAGTGCATGAAAATGAGTTTTCCATAAGATTTTGTTTGGCCGCAGTACCAAACATGACCACCAGTTCATATTCAGTTTCCATAGATGACCACACCAGTGCGCCCCCCTGTTTTTGTGTATGTTTTGAGGGATATTAACATATTTCGTTATCATACTTTCGACAATATTTGTAAAGTCGACCCTTAAATTCTAAAGTCGTGGACATTTTGGTGGTATTTGGTTTGGTTTTTGCCCCAAAAACGCGTTTTACATGTGGAGATTGCTTGAGGCGGTGGTTCGTAGGTTGCTCGGTGACCATCAGTTGTTTTCTCTGAGGAACAAACTGATGAAACATTGCTATCTCTCTTATACAAGTTTTATTTATGGAGAAAAGTTCTAAAGCACTGCGGTGTTTAGGTGTTCTGTCTGAGATAATTAGTCTACCGAAATGTGCATATTCCATAAGTATGAAGCTGATTGGTCCGTTCTTGTCACTCGACAAGCAATGCGCTCACGGGATTCATTCAACTGGGTGCGTCTGGATGGTGCAAGTGCATCACGCTGTGTACCTCCATTGTACATTATGAGCTTTCATGAACTCTAAAGATGTGTTATATGCAAAATAAAAGTCCCCCAACATTTGCGATCTCCAGCAGTTGATCTTCTTGCGCAGACATGCTGGATTCATCTGATTTGTTAACAAATGAATTGCGGATTCATCCTTAGGCAGTTCGTTGCTCCTTCATTCTACCCTCAGCATAGAAACTTTCTAAAGACATCTGTTTCTTACTTATTTTGCTGCTTGTGCGTTAAATTTGGACGCTCAGCTGACTGAGATGTAAGCGAAAGAATTCTGTCTTTTTTATTTTAATATAGGATTGTTTAGACTCAGATAATAAATAAAACAGAAATAATGAATGATTTCTTGTGTGACCAAGTACCAACTGATCCACAGACCAGTACCAGTGTGCAGCCCAGTGGTTGAGGACCATAGGGTTACGGTGTTAAAATATCCTTACAGTAGTCCCTGCTGAAAAATCCAGCTTAAACCAGCCTATGCTGGTTGGCTGGTTTTAGCTGGTCAAACAGGCTGGTTTTAGAGGGGTTTTGGCCATTTCCAGGCTGGTTTCCAGCCATTTCCAGCCTGGTCTTAGCTGGTCAGGCTGGAAAATGACCAGCTAAATCCAGCTAAAACCAGCTTGTCCAGCCTGGTTTAAGCTAGACATAGCTGGTTTTGGCTGGGCTTTCAGCCTGGCTAGGCTGGTCAAGCTGGTTTTAGCTGGTCATCTTCCAGCCTGACCAGCTAAGACTAGGCTGGAAATGGCTGGAAACCAGCCTGGAAATGGCCAAAATCCCTCTAAAACCAGCCTGGTCGACCAGCTAAATCCAGCCAACCAGCCTAGGCTGGTTTAAGCTGGATTTTTCAGTAGGGGTAAAAGAGCAGTTTAGTGGGTTTTTAAAGATATTTCATCAGTATATGTAGGAAATTTCTTGACTGTCAGTTTTTTATGGGCTTTTTTTTCTTCAAAAAAAATTTCATTGCATCATTGGTAGTGTGTTCGGGATCACAGTCCTGTCAATTCTGACAATATTGTCAACAGCACTGGCAGATTTGCAGCTCAAACAGCCTCCAGCATGTTTCACTGGAGGCCGAAAAGCTCTCATTCTTCCATCTCTGTCCAAGTTTCACGTCTGAAACACTCGCTCATGTTCCATCAGCTTAGTCCCTGATTTATCAGGGGTCGCCACAGTGGAATGAACCACCAGTTACTCTGGCATATGTTTTATGCAGCAGATGCCCTTTCAACTGCATCCTAGAACTGAGAGTACATTAACCCGTGAATCCAAAGTGCTGGGAAGCACCCATGATAATATCTCATTCACATACACACTCATTCACTGTGGCCAGTTTTGTTATTGAATTCACCCATAGCACTTGTGTTTGGACTGTGGGGGAAGCTGGAGCACCTGGAGGAAACCCACACCAACATGGGGAGAACATGCAAACTCCACACACAAATGCCAACTGGCCCAATTTGGGCTCTGGACTCAAATCAGTGACCTTCTTGCTGTAAAGCTAACCCCTGAGCCACCATGTCGAAAAAATATGTCCGGTAAACATCACTTAAGAGATATTACGAAAATAACTCTTCATCTCCTTCTTGTTGTTCTTCTAGAGCTCAGGCTGGGCTCTGTCAGAGCTGGACGCTCTGCTGCTTACCGGGACAGTGTTTCACACCCTCAGTTTGGGTTCCAGCAGCTTCATCGAGGAGGAACACCAAACCTGGTACTTCCTGCTCAACACGCTGTGTCTGGCCGTGTTCCAGGACGTCTGCCGGCGGTACTTCAGGGAGCAGAGACAGGGGGGCGAGGAGGAGGATGAGGGGCCGCTGCTGCCTTCCGCTTCTGACGCAGGACTGTCTTTCTCCCCGGCGCTGGAGCTGGGCGTGAGCGCAGGCTCAGAGAAGTGGCTGGCACTGGGGACTCCGCTGCTCACACTGACCTGCTGTCGCCTGCTGAGGGCACTTAACCAGACTGGGGTGCAGTGGGCGCACTTGCCCGACTTTGGACACTGGCTTAACAGGTGAGAACATAAACTAAAGTATCAAAACCACACAACAGTAAAACATTGCAACAGAGTGCAATTTATTGATGTTTATATCAGGTTTATATCTTCTAAACGCAAATGTTGTCACTCTTTTAGAGCACACCAGCTCATAGATATCCTTACGACTAATACTAACATCTAAAACGTTTTACATTAATTTCACAGGGCATTTAAAACATGCTCATAACTTGCTAGCATGTTAGCAGCATTTTAAACTGTGTCGAAAAAAAAAATCTCTTCGTTAAACAGCATTGAACTGAGTATTATATTTTAAATGCAGCATTTTGATGCACATGGGTTGCCAGATTGATGAAACCAACAGCTAAACTGCTTGACAAACATATGAACTTAGCATGTTTTCTAAACCTCCATTAACATCTGAAGCTAACGTTCTGCTTTAGTGGAGTCAAAAAGACTTTAATTCAGCAACTTTAACTAAAACGATGACATGACTGCAGTCTGACGGAGGAAGTTACCGTTCACAACCTCCGAATCTGGCTCTGACTCTTTCAATCTCTTTGGTTTTTATATCTGAGAAGGACTCTGGACTCTCCTGGGCTCATATTCACACCGCCTGCAGACTTTTTGGCTAATGAAAAGATTGTTTTATGAAAAGAGGACTAATTGCTATGCAGCAAAGGAGTTTTAATGTATTCCGCTCTTTTATTAAGAATTGTAATTAGTTGGCATTTTAATAATTGTTCGGGCTCTTTTAAAAATTCCTTTGTCACTGCAGGACCATTTAACCCTCATAATACATTCAGTTTCATTTGACCCTGAAGGGACACATACAGATTTCTTTAAAAAAAATCCAATGAAGCTTAGTCTCTTGTAAGGGGAAGAAACTCGGCAGTGATTAAAGACCCTCAAAATACAATGTTACACGTTTTGTGTTGGTATGGAAAATTATTTACTGTAAAAATATCTATGAAGTTATATCAGTGTGTTTTTCTTCTGATATACAGTCAGTGTTGGGGAGTAACTAGTTACATGTAACGGCATTACGTAATTTAATTACAAAATAAAAGTAACAGTAATTCGTTAAAGTTACTGAGAAAAATGTGTAATTAAATTACAGTTACTTTTGAAAATGTTAAAGATTACAAATGGGGTTACGTCTAATATTTTTCTTTAAAACCCTGTGATATGTTGAATAATATTAATCTATTGCTTTGCCTGTTTTTGATATGCACGATGCCTTTTGCTAAGGCCATTTATTCACTTTTAATTTGCAGCGCAACCACAGACATAAATCCAAAATAAAGATTTATATTTGTATAAATGGTGTGTATATGTAAATAAAAATATATAAAATGCAAACAAAACAAGACCAAAATAATTACATTTACATTTATTATTATATATATTATATATATAATTTGTATTAGCTACAAATATTTGATTTATAAATACTAATAAATATTTTCTCAAGGCGTGCGTTTTCTCGAGGCTGCAGGCCGAGTGCTTTAGTGTCCCTCCCGTGATGAGATAAAGCTGCATCGCACTGCTACGAGTGTGATATTGCATTTATACAACAGTTCGACAGCATAATCGTGTATATATATTAAAGAAATCAAACACGGATAGTCTTCAAAACCCTTTTGTACGCAGCACTACTTTCTTCTGCCGTTCATTCGCATCTGCAGCTGACGTCAAAACAGCAGAAACTGTTGCCAGTTTACAAATGTCACTTTAGAGCTAGTGTTTGAATGATTCTCTAGCGTAATGTTTAAAGTTATGATAAAACAGGTGATTTTGCTCACATTTTAAGATTATAAGGCTGAACAGCCTGAAATGCCATCAGTCTACAGAGATTTCCCAGTATTTCGCTGTTGCAAACGGGAGACCACAATAATTAACCCTGAAAAAGCCAAAGCACAGCCAACACTACCAGTTCTGTGGTATAAAAACAGCACTACAATATATAAGAGAGAGATCGACTTAGAATGTCACTTACCTGATTTATAATGATTTGTTCAGCTGTAGTTTAAAAACTTACGTTGAGAAAACACTGAGCTTTTCTCTCTCAAAGGGCTGAATATGTAGTCTTTGTTGCCATCTTGTGGCAGAACGTCAACCATGACTTTTTTTTTTTGGTCTTTTGAATCTCAGAAGTTATAAATATAATCATATAAATATAAATATAGTTGTCAACCGTCTTTGCTCAGAGACAGGCTAATGGACGCCAAAGTGATGTCTCTCAAAAATTATAAATATTTAAAATATAATAATATTTTATTAATATATATATATATATATATATATATATATATATATATATATATATATATATATATATATATATATATATATATATATATATATATACAGTTGAAGTCAGAATTATTAGCCCCCTTTTGGGGGCTAAAGGGGAATTATTAGCCCCCTTTTGATTTTTATTTCTTTTTTAAATATTTCCCAAATGATTTTTAACAGAGCAATGAAATTTTCACAGTATGTCTGATAATATTTTTTTCTTCTGGAGAAAGTCTTATTTGTTTTATTTCGGCTAGAATAAAAGCAGTTATTAATTTTTAAAAAAACATTTTTGGGACAAAATTATTAGCCCCTTTAAGCTAATTTTTTTTTTTTTAGATAATCTACAGAACAAACCATTGTTATACAATAATTTGACTAATTACCCTAACCTCCCTAGTTCACCTTATTAACCTAGTAAGCCTTTTAATGTCACTTTAAGCTGTATAGAAGTGGCATGAAAAATATCTAGTCAAATATTATTTACTGTCATCATGGCAAAGATAAAATAAATCAGTTATTAGAAATAAGTTTTTAAAACTATGATGCTTAGAAATGTCCTGAAACAATCTTCCCAGAAAAGAACAGAAATTGGGGGGGAAAAAAAACATTAGCGCTAATAATTCAGGGGGGCTAATAATTCTGACTTCAACTGTACATGTATATATATATATATGCACAACACACAAATACAGTAAATTATATAAATACAAGCTCTTTGTTTTTTGAATGTGATTAATCGTGATTAATGTTTTGACTGCACTAATATACATTGTTTGTGTGTGTGTGTATTGACTTTAAGTCAACAGTGACAAAACTCTGCTTTCTCTTTCTTTTGTATAACCATTCTGCGTATGAGAGATTTATTCCTTAACTAACAAAATGCCTTCTTCCAGTTTGTTTGATAAATATCCCCCAAACTTCCTTCATCTAAACACACTTCACCTCAGGCGATTAACTTCATTCTCTCCTGTGTGTTGTGATCTGTGAGTCTGGAACCGACACACACTCACACATTTACAGACAGATGGCAGCAGCGCTGGTCTGTGCCAGTCTTATTCTGCCCCATTAGCCAGTACCCGACTGGTCAGCCAATAAAAAACCAGCTTGCTCTCACACAAAAACTCTCATGAGTAAATAAACTGACCGGATTTGCCAGCAATACTGGTCAAGCTTACATGCCATTTTTTACAATGTTTACAAACTTTATTCCTGTGTAAATTTCTATATAAAGTGCTCAGCATAATTGAGTACACCCCCTTTTGAAAATGAATAGTTTTATCCATTTGTCATATTGAATTATAGACAATCACATTGAATAAAGACAATTTATTTATTGTGTATAACAAAACAGTTTTTTTAATCAATACATTTTCAACGATAATTTGAAATGGATAAGACAATACATCAATTTTTGATTACCATAAACTGGCTAACATCATACTTGATGTACACAAATCAAATTAAGGAGTATCCACTAATAGGGTCCCTCCCTAATAATAATTATTTTGATGCTATTTTACTAAATCTAATCCAAAAATATTTTAGTAATCAAATTCAGAGTATATAATTTAGATTATATTGTTTTTTTTTTACATTTTTTTTTTTGCTTGTCAAGAAAATGCTTCTAGATTTAAGAATGTTTATACATTTGCACTAGAAACAAGACACAAAATTCATGTAAGAATGTCGTTTTTTTTTACAGTGTAACATGAGTGACACCTTTTACATTCCATCGATGCTTTCATCAAACCTTTTATCCAGTTCACACTTCATTCAGTCTACACATTATATCATTTCCCGCTCGCCCTACGATTCGAACCCCTGACCTTACTGTCTGTACTATTACATTTTTAATAGCAGTTCAGAAATCAATATTGCTTTCATATATATTATGTCCTCATAGCCGGAGGAAAGTAATCTGTGCCCTTTCAGTCTGCATCTGGAGTGTTTATAGAAATGGGTCACAAAAAACTTTACATTTAATCTGCCCTCGCAGGGCTTTTTCCCTTTGTGTGTCTTCTCAGATGATGTTGCGGATCGATAGCTCGCATCTCTTAAATGCATCACCTGTCGTAAACGTCTAAAAAGCCTTCAGTTCCGCACATAAAGAGGTTTTCTCTCTTTATTTGTGCACTTTTTGATCTGTTAGAACAATGGAGCTTGAAATGAAGAGTGTTTTTCTTTTTTCTTTATTTATTCTTGGTCCAAAATACTCCAAAAAACAAAAACATGTCTTGTCGAATTTTGTTTTCAGCGTATAGGTAAACATTCCATATGGATTTCAAAGAGTTCCAATTTTACCCTATTTACAAGATCTAAGAGAAGTATTTGGTGTATCTGTTTCAGCTCAAAATATACCCATCAGATTATTTATTAAATATGCCCATTTTGAGTTCAGAGTAAAGTGTAGCTGTTTTTGTAGCCTGTGTCTTTAAATGCAAATGAGCTGGTTTGTCCCGCCCATCATTCTTATGTGTTTGTCTTCTTTTACTGCATAATATTAGATAAACAGCAGTCAGTGACAGACACAAACACGGATGAAGCAGATACTGAGTTTATTAGTCAAATATTCCAAGTAAGTTTATTTGATGTATTTGTGGTGGAGCTTATTCAAGCTTTTCTGCAATGATGAGTCACACATAAATGTTTGCAGTACACACACACACACACACACACAAACACACACACACACACACACTTACAAAACATACAACAAT